TACTTCTCCCTGCCAAGGAGGCATCTCCCTCCTTTGGCACAGGGCCCATCTGTGCTCTCTGACATGGATTAGGGTGATTTTGTCTTTTCTATTGGCAGTGATTGCAAATCTCTCTGGGTTCATTAGTAGCTGGAAAATCCTTCCAGATTTATTAGTTCACATTGCACTTCCTCCTGTTCCTCTGAGCTTCAGATGGTATCTCTGGTGTCTCAGTGGCTGATGGGCTTTGCCCAAAGGCTCGTAATTCCTCACGTCTTCTATCCAAACTTCTGTCAGTCTCAGAGAACAAGATTCCCTAGCCAACCAGAGACTGACTGGAGGACAGAGACTCCTTCCAGATTAAAGAGTGGGACAAGCATAGCAAATCAGTAACTGTCCTGTGCATGCCACACTTGGAAATACCAGACAGGACTGTCAGGCTGCCAGCCCACCTGGACAAAAGCACTCCAGGGCAGACCCTTTTAGGTGTAAGGGAGCTGACGCCATTTAAGGAACTGCTAATCTCCACACATAAGATCGGTTGTCCTCTAAACAGGCATGCCGGGGTTTAGGATGCTAATTGCTTTTCCAGCATATATGAAAGAGATGTGCGATGATGATTAATTATTTAATAATGTGGCAGATATTGCTAGCGATCTTCTACCTGGGCAGACAGATGAAATTTCCCAATCTCCCTTACAGGTAGTTGGGGCATATGACTGAGTACTAGCTAATGGAATTGGAAGGAGAAATACTATGTGCCATTTCCAGCCTGGCCCATAAAAACTTCCTGTGTCTGATCCTCTATGTTTCCCCCATCACTGGCTTCTCAGAGGACACATTTATAAGCTGGGAGAAGCCTGGTCCCCTGAAGGACCTTATAGAAAGAAGCCAGCCCACTGATCAGGTGCTCTCTTTTGAAACTTCAGTGGAGTCAGAAATATATTTCTACTGTGTGAAGCCATGAGATTTGGGAGTTTATCTGTTATAGTAGTTGGTATTACCTATCAGATACAAAGTGCTACCAATAGCTAATTTTTAATTTTACCAAGATTTTAGAGATAGATATCATTCACATTGTACATATGAGGGACCCGAGACCCTCAAGAGCTTTGGCCCACAGCTAGTAAGCTCCTGAACTGGGTTTTTTTAATGAGGTCTGATTGACTGAAGGGCTGGGATTTTACATACTGGCTTTTTTTCTCTCATTATTAAGCTTCCTAATCAGGATTCTCAACTTTAGCCATGTGTTCTTGCTTCTTTCAATTTGCAAAGTCTTAATAGAAATGAGAAGCACACCTGAACACCTCATACACACTAAGATGGCTATTGCCATAAAACCAAAAAATGACAAGTATTGGTGAGGATGTGGAGGAACTCACACCCTCAAAAATTACTGGCGGTAATAAAATATGGTCCCTCTGGAAAACAGTTTGGCCATCCCTCAAAAACTAAACAGAATTACCCTGTGGTCCAGCAAGTCCACTTCTAGGTACCTGTCCAAAATAACTGAAAGCAGGGGCTCGAGCAGATATTTGTACACTTCTGTTCACTGCAGCACTATTCACAGTGGCCAAAAGGGAGAAGCGACACAGCTGCTGAGGAACCTAGTGATGATAGCTGGTATTTACCGAATACCTTCTGCATGCAAGGCTCTGTAACGTGTTCCTGTTATTTTTTCATTTAAACCTCACAACAATTCTAGCAGAAGGCACAGTTTTATCCCCATTTTAGAGCCTCATCTATAAGCAGACACTAACAATACCTGCCTTAGGAGATAATATCCATACAGCAGTTGGTTCACAGAAGTTTAGTAAAGTGGAGGTATTATTTTAAGAATACCTTTTTGAGGTATTATGAACTATTATTTAAGAATATGATACTCATATTGTAAGCTAGCTGCTTGTATGGATAGTATCTCCTGAGGCAAGTATTAGTAGTGTCCACTTACAGCTGAGGTCATTGAGGCTTAGAGAGGTTAAGTAAATTGCACAGGGTCACACAGCTGGTAGCCAGTCAAACTATAATTTTCAGTCATATCTGCCTAATGCCAAGGCCTATGCCTTTTGGGTTCACCATGCTGGCTCTGAGGAAGCTCATCTGAGTGCCTGTTGCATCCTAAGGCAGAATATAAGAGGACGGAACGTGATGGGGTTCCTGAGAAGTTCAGAGAAGGAATAAGTAAGCATTAAAGTCCGGGTAACATCTGTATTTGTGGGGAAGGGACTGAAGAAGTACAGAAGATAACTCTTACCCTTTTTATGAAGCCTGTCCCGCTCTGGCACAAGACTCCAACTGCAATGGGGCAGAAAGAATGGACTTCAAAATAGTTTCCTTACTGCTAGTAGAGGCTTGTCCATTCCCAAAAGCCAAGGCGCTGAGAGCTCCAGGCCCTCTCACAATGGGCTTTGCAACAGCACTGCTTCTATTTTCTTGACTACTATTCAGCCATCATCATTGCTGCAGTTCTTTTCTGACTTCCCCTTGCAAACTCAGACTGTGAGTCTTGTTAACTCCAGGTTCAAATAATTCTCTGAGGCATGCTCCCCAAGTTCCTCTAGTCTGTGCCCACCAAAAAAGGAGAAGAGTTCTTTGAAACCAGAAAGATTTATAATGCATCCACACTTGTTCTCTCAACAACCCTGTAAGAGTTTATTACCCCAATTTTACACATGGGAATGTTGGGGCTGAGATAGTGAGTGTGACTCTCCCAGAGGCAGAATGGGGACTCATCCTGGTCTCCTGACTTCACAGGCCAGTGCTTTTTCCACTAGAAAAATCATCACAATCAGCAGCAGCAGCATTTCTGAGAAGAGGGACGGTAGTGTGCAGTGTGGGTGATGCTATCTTCTTAAAAATCTAAAGGCAAGCAACTCCACCTCATTCTAGTTACTGTGATGGAGACTCACTCCAGATGCCTGGCCTCCTCCCATCTTCTAGGTCATCCCGTGACACCCTCCTTCCCAGCGTCCTGAAGCAGCCTCGCTGCTTTCTGGGGAGCATCGTTGGCAGACTGGCACAAGGCAACAGCCCCAGGTCTCCTTTTCCCTTTCCCCTCTTTCCCAGGCTCCCAAAATGGAACACAACTGTATTTTAATATCTCTTTACTCTTCTGCCAACTTTCCAGGGCTCCCCCTAGTGCCTCCTTACTTAAGCAAAAGCTTTTGTGATGCCCTGGGCATGGTCTAATCCGGTGTCCCTTCCACATGCTAATGCTCC